GGTGGAGTAGGGCGAGAGACGAGGAGGAGCGCGGAGGCAGGAGGGAGACGGGGAGAGTGATGTGATGAGGGGATAGGGGAGGAGGGGGAGGATGAGGAGTGAGAGCGAGACAGGAAAGGGGGAATGAACAGGAGGAGGAGGAGGGAGAGGAGGAGGAGGAGGAGGAGGAGGGGGAGGAGAAGGGAGAAAGAGGAGAGAGGAAGGATGATGAGCGAGAGGAAGTAGGATGAGGTGGGGGAGCAGGAGGAGGGGGAGGATGGAGGTTGCACCTGCCTTTGTAGTTTTCTGGTGCGTTCGGTGCGTATGGCAGAATCTGTGCTGCAACATTGTATCCAAACAGGCTTGCCTATGCGAATCCTAGCTCAATTCCAAGAGGAATTGTCCAAGGTTCCGAGGCGCGGGCTCAAATTTGACCTAGCGCGATCTCGGTAGTTCTTTGGCCTCTGGCTAGTTCCATGGCATCCTATGGCTAGTTCCTTGTCTTGCTTTGGCTACTCCCCTGGCTTGCTATGGCTTGTTCCATGGCTTCCTATGGCTAGTTCCATGGTTTGCTGTGGTTGGTTCCGTGGCTTGCTACGGCTAGTTCCCAGATTCCTATGGCTTCCATGGCTAGACCCGCAACTAGTTCCTTGGCTTGCTATGGCTAGTTCTCCAAGTATGGTTGCCTATAGGAGTCCCAGCTCAATCCCTAGAGAATTGGTCATGAAGGCTGGGCGCGGGAGTAGTTTTGACATTGCACGATCTTGCGAGTTCCATGGCTGGTTCCATGGCTTTTGTCTAGTTCCATGGCTTCCTGTGGTTAGTTCCATGTCTCCCTATGGCAAGTTCAATGGACTCCAGTGGCTAGTTCTATGGTTTGCTATGGCTAAATATATGGCTGGTTCCATTGCTTTATGAGGCTAGTTCCATGGCTAGTTCCATGGCTCCCGATGGCTAGTCCCATGGCTTCCTATGTCTAGTTCTATGGTTTCCTATGGTTAGTTCGATGGCTTCCCGGCTAGTTCTGTGCATAGTTCTATGGCGTCCTATGGTGAGTTCAATGGTTTTATATGGCAAGTTCTATGCCTAGTTCCATGGCTTCTTAGGGCTAGTTCTATGAAGTCACATTGCTGGTTCTATGGCTTCCCATGGCTAGTTATATGCCTTGCGCGCTTGATTTCTTGTTTGCTTGCGTGCCTGCTTGCAGTCCAGGGAGTCCGGCGAGTCCAGGTATTCCAGAGAGTCCAGAGCGTTTGGAGAGTCCAGGTAATCTAGGCAATCTTGTTGTCGTTGTCGTCGTCGTCGTCGTCGTCGAATCGTCGCGCCGTCTCGTCGTCTTTGCCGTGTCGTCGACGTCGTCGTCTCGTCGTCGTCGTCGTCGTCGTCGTCGTCGTCTCGTCGTCCTCGCTGTCATCTCGTCGTTGTTGTGTCATCGTCGTCGTATCGTCGTCGTTTTCTCGTATTCGTCGCCTCGTTGTCGTCAGCGTTTTCGTCGTCGTCGTCGTTGTGTCGTCGTCGTCTGCGTCGCCGGCTCGTCGTCGTCGTCGTCATCGCCTTCGCATCGTCGTCGTCTCATCGTCTTTCTCGTCGTCTCGTCGCGTCGTCGCTTTCGCGTCGCAGTCGTCTCGTCGTCGTCTGTGTTCTAATCGTTGCCGTGTCGTCGTCAACGTCTTGTCATCGTCGTCGTCGTCTCGTCGTGTCGTCGCCTTCGTCCTCGTGTTGTCATCTTGTCGTCGTCTCGTCGTCGTGTCGTCGTGTCGTTTTCGTTGCCGTCGTTGTCGGCCTCTCTTTGTCATCGTCGTCGTCTCGTCGTATTCGTCATCTTCTTCCTCTCGTCGTCGTCGTCTCGTCTCGTCGTCGTCTCGTTGTCGTCGTCTCGTCCTCGTCGTTTGGTCAAAGTCGTCGTCGTCGTCATCGTCTCGGGGTCGTTGTTCCCCTCCCGTCGTTGTGTCATCGTCGTCGTGTCGTCGACGTCATGTAGTCGTAGTCGTCGCCGTCGTCTTGTCATGGCGCCGTCGTCAGGTCGTCATCGTTGTCTCGTCGTCCTCGTCGTCTCGTCGTCGTCGTCTCGTCATCGTCGTCGTCGTGTCGTCTCGTCGTCGTCCTCGTCTCTCGGCATCGTCTCGTCGTCGTCTCGTCGCCGTCGTCGTGTCGTTTTTGTTGGCTGTTATGGCTGTCGTGTCGTCTCTTCGTCGTCGTATCGTCGTGTCGTCTCATCCTCCTGCTATGGCTGTTGAAGCTGATATCCGCACGCGTGGATGCCGTTGTGTTTTCGCGCGCGCAACGTCATTGCCAACGCGTATCGCGAGACATCCGCAGAATACGCACACTCAAGATCTGCCTTTGAAGCCGCGTTTCCGCGATCAGAAACCGACCATATCGGAAAATATTTTTTGGATTAAATGTCCGGCCCCCCCCAGATCCCTCAGACGGAGCAGTCCAGCACTCGGTTTTCAAAGGCACGTGGAACTGCAGGGCCGAAAACGTGGTCATCCGACGTAAGCGTGCAGGAGCCTCGGCGAGCCCTGGCCCTCCGGGTGCGGCAGGGCGGCTGCAGGGCGTCTCTCCCTCTCCCGGAGGGCCCCGCTGCCGCGCTCCTCGGCCCCGACGCTCTCGGGCAGAGCCGCAGGGCCCGGGCGAAGAGGTCCGAGGCGGTGGGCGTCAGGG